TGTTACTTTGTCTCTGGGGTGATTTGGGGGCTGTAGCCCAGACAGGGGCTTGCGATCCCCCTGTGTGGGCCACACAGCCTGTGTGTGTCTGAGCATGATGCTGCAGAGCCGCAGAGGCTTTGCAGTCTGCCAGGGAAAGGCTTTGGAGTGTGACACCCCTGGAGGCTTTACACCCCCTTTCCCTTGGGATCCTTCCTCTGCTTGGTCCCCCTGGGAAGGGACAGGGGTCCCTTCTGAGCCCTTCTGCTTCCTGGCTGAACCTTGCACATGTGGGCAGCGGATCTGGCCAAGGCCGGGCTCTGCGGGGCGTCTGCACCCTGGCTCTCGCAGCTCTGCGCAAGCAGGAGGGGGCTGAGGCAAGCGCAGGCAGCTCCCGCCTCGCTGAGGCCTAATACACTTGCTTCAGGCAGGTTTGAGGAAGAATTTGCCTCAGAAGTTTTGGGAACTTGATACCAGACTCAGTGTCCTGACAATCCGCCACCTTTCCCGTGAGCTCGAGGAGAAACCATGTTCCTCTTCCAGGCCCTGTGCTCCCGCCTGGGTTGCTGAGACTGAACCAGAGGCCTCTGGGCTCCTATGTGGGACAACTCAGAAATGCAGATCTGGGGGGAACGGCCAAATCTGCTCGTGGTGGCACACGGCCTACCCTGGCTCTGCCCTCTCTGTGTCCCCGTGGCTCTCCAGGGGCTGGCAGAGCTCTGCTGTCTTAGGGCCAGAAGAGGCCCAGGGTTTACCCCATTGATGGAGGGTGCCTGTTGTCCCCAACTGGGGCTTTGGGAATGGCTGTACCAGCCTTTACGCCCTGCTTCTGATGGATGAGATGAGGTGGGACCTGAGCAGGTTTGCCAGCCAGCTCCCCAGCCTCCTTTCACTGTTGTCTTGCAGCCAGGCTGTGGCAAGTGGGAGTCAGCCCGCAGCTTCCTCCCTGCGGTGCCCACAGTGCGAGCACGTGAGCGGAGGTGGTGAAGAGCCAGAATGCTGTGCCCCAGGGTGGGTTTGCTCCCCTCCCTCGGCCTTGGTGGGCTCAGCCTCTGCCCTGTTATCAGCCAGGTGTTGAATCCAGTGCAAAGAGCCTCTCTGAAGCCCTGGAGCAGGAGGATGGAGGCCTCTTCCCTGTGCCCTTTGCTCGCTTCTGGCCCAGCTCAGCTCTGCATGGCTCCAAAGGGCGCCGCACCCTGTACGGGCCCTCACAGGTGCTAAGCTGCTGCTGCCTGGGTGGGGACCGGAAAGGGCTGTTTCCTGCCGCCCTTGTCTCTGCCGCTCATGGTGTTTTTTGTGCACCCTGTGCAGGACTCAGGATCACAGTGGAGGCTGCAAAGGAAGGGCCAGCTGGGCTGTGTTGGGGCTGGGGGCTCCCCTGTTGCGGATGTTGGGCTGGGGCACTCGGTGCCTGTCCTCTTTCCTACTCTCACTCCTGAGCAGTTGTCCCTGGTGGAGGGACCCGGTGCGGACCACAGAGCGGTGATTCAGTGTGGCTGTGGTCCGCCCTGGGACAAGAGGGATCTCCAGAGCTGGTGGAGATCCCCCTCGTGCACAGCTGGTGTTTCCTACCTCCCGGCAGGGCTAAGCCAGCTACTTCCCGACCCCTCCGCTCACTGCCCGCTGGAGGGCTGGCCTGGGGCCAGCGAGCACTTAGAGGCCAGCGTGACGCTGGAGTCCCCCGTGCTCAGGCAGGCAACTCGAGCATTTTGTGTCCCGGAGCCTTGTCCATGCAAAGGTTTGTTTGCTTGCTCCTCCCCTGGCCAGGTGAAGGCTAAGTGGATATGGCAGGAGTTATCTGACTTGCTGAAAGATTGCAGGAAACTCTGACATGAACTCCTTTGCCTGTGCGTGCTGGCTCTGGCCATTCCTGTTCCTAGAGGCTCCAGCCGAGCAGCTTTAGGGGGAAGTGTTTGAGCAACTCGAGCGAGCGGTTGGGTTGGCAGGACCTGACAATGCTGCGCGAGGCTCAGCGTGGCAGCAGGGTGCTGGGCAAACCCGACTCATGCCAGACTCGGGGATTCCTGAACAATGTGGGGAAACTGGGGCCGGAGAGGCTGCAGGTCCAGCGCACCCAGCTCGGGAGGGGAAGGGAGCACTGAGGCCTTGGGCAGGAGACAGCATCCGCATCCGCGTCCCGCTCGGTGCCTCAGTTTCTCTTTCGTGTGTTCCCTGGCTGTGAGGGACGAGGGGCTCTGCCCTGGCACTTGGGGGCATTTATGGCTTCTGAGGACCTGAGAAAGGGCAAGCCAGAGACAGCAGCTCCCGGCTGGCTGGTTGGGGATGGGAAGAGTACAGCTGGTAGCAAAGATGGGTTAATTCCCTGCTTGTCCTCCCCCCACCTCCCTTCAGGGACTTCTGCTAATTCAGGAAACGCGCTTGCATGTTTTTCTGCTGATTGCCAGAACTGGCGTGGCCAAACTCCCCCCTCCTTGGCCAGGGCCTGTCGAAAACTGCCGGGGTGCTTCAAGGCTGTATCTCCTTGGCAGGCAGGGAACGGCTGCTCAGCAGTGGTGATGGCGCCCACGGATTGATCTGTCTCTCACTGTTCGTCTGGGCCCAGGGATGCTTCGAAGAGGCATTTCTCTCCCTCGCCAGCTTCCTTTCCGGCGCGTGCATCAGCAGATTTGTCTGCTCAGGGCTCCTGGGGGCTGTCTTAGAGGACTGATTGTAAAAGGGCCCCCCCGTCGTGAACATTTCAGCCCTGGTGTAACCGCACCAGAGGCAGATGTGCAGGAGTTGGGGAGCTGGTGGATGGTTACAGGCCAGCCCCGAGCAGCGAGCCTTGGGCGAGCTGTGGGCTGTACCGGGGACGCGCTTTGGTGCGTTCCCCTTTAGGGGCGAGGGGGCTTGATAGGGGCTTTGCCCTGCCATCGTGCGCAGCCAGATCGCAGAGTCGGGATCTGTACTCTGGCCTTATTCCAGCAACCAGCACCGTTGTGGGGTGACGTTTGGGTGGGAAGCCCCAGGGAGGGTCTCTGGGACCCAGCCTGGCTCCAATTGTGCCTGCGAACAGGGAGCGGGGATTGGACTCGCTGTCAGTCACCCTCCAGCTTTCTCAGTGTCCAGCTGGCCCGGGGAGGGAGAGGACACCGTGCAGAAGCTGGAGCCTGATCCCTCTTGCACACGCCTGCGTGCTCTTCCCCTTGCCGCCTCATTGCCTTTGTCACCCGGCGAGTGTCCGGAGATGGATGAGGTGTTTTGCTCGCTCCGGCGGGCTGTGGAGCAGCAGGCGCAGCTGCTGTGCCGGAGCCCCCGCCAGCCCGCCCGACCTAGCGGTCCCCATCGTCCCCC